GGCCAGATTTTGAGGCTGTCTCGATCGGTTTGCTAGTTTTGGTGGCCAGGCTCGTGGGCGCAGATTCTTCTCAGGATGCCACAGGAGGCTCCAACAGGCTCCAGGAGGCCCCAGGAGACCACATGAGGTCCCAGGAGGCATCAGGAGGCCACAGAACGATTCAAGAGGCCACAGGATGTCCCAAGAGGCGCCAGGAGGCCCCATGAAGCTCCAGAAGGCTTCAGGAAACCACAGGAGACCCCAGGAGACAACAGGAAGCGCCAGGAGGCCTCGGAAGGCAACTGGAGGCCCCGAGAGGCCCCAGGAGCAGGAGGCCTCAGAAGGCAACAGGAGTGGCTCCAATCCCATGTGTTTTACGTATGCTCCTATCGATTGGGCCTCACCTGGAGCACGATTCTTTGATGTTCAACGTATGTTTCTATAGATGGTCCTTCTCCTGTGTACACAATCCTAAATGTTTTACTCATGTTCCTATGTATTGGGCCTCTCCTGGGGCACGAGTCCTTGGTGTTTTACGCGTGTTCCTATAGATTGCCCTTCTCCTGTGGCTCTAATCCGCACTGTTTTAGGTACGTCTGTTGCTATAGATTGCGCCTCTCCTGGGGCACGAAACCTTCCTAGGAGGTCCCAGGAGGTCCCAAGAGGCTCCTGAAGACCCCGGGAAGCCCCAGTAGGTTTCAGGAGGCCCCAGGAGGCCCCAGGCTCATGCACAGAGACGCGCTCGTACTACTGAGGCTCATTCACACTCCAATTCATTCGCAGTTAGATTGATGTCCAGACCGTCACAACTGAAGCCCGTTAATATTCGAAAGCTCTTGCGGCTAGACATTCACGGCGGACAGGTCCATGCGAGTAGATGCACATATGGGGAGCTCCACGCAGTGAATAATTCTCTAAGGGATGGTAGCCCTGCGTGCAGCAGGCAATATGCTGACACCCCCGCTGTCCCTGTCAAAACACACTACCAAGTGCTCGCGGGCCTCACGAACATGACTCCAGATTTTGCCCCAAAGTGTATGTTGTATTGGTTTTGACAGGGATGGTGGCGTTGGGGTCCTCATGGGGTCACTATTGTTCCTGATTGGCTGCCGGTCGCCTGGGGGACGGGGTGTATATTAATAGGGAACAGTGAGAAAGCCCACCCCGAAGGGGACAACGGGTGGATGGAAGAGGAAGTACTCTAAATCACTCACGCCCTGAATGGCTGGTGGGACTTTCTTCGCTCTGCCTTCGCCTCCCCCTCCGCATCGGCTTTCCCCTCCGGCTGGGCCTACTTCTCGCAGCGTCTACACTATGCCGCGGTGCGTCGATGGTTCATCGGACGACCATGCACGCGTCAGGGCAGCGAGGTCACCAAGGAACGGGGGAGCGAGAGGACGAGGAGAGGAGGGCAGGGGGGCAGAGGTGCAGAGGGGGAGAGAGAGGACGAGGGGGAGACAGCAGAGGGAGAGGAGGGTAGATGAGCAGAGGGGCAGCGAGGGGAGAGGACGAGGGGAGGGGCAGAGGACCGGGAGAGGACGAGCAGAGTGGGAGCGAGAGGAGAGGATGAGGGGGAGACAGCAGAGGGGGGGGGACAGTAGAAGAGGATATTGGAGGGGGAGGCAGAAGAGGGGGAGGGGAGCGACAGGGCGCTCCGTCCGCCTCGCGAGGGCCGCGGGCTGCTGCGATCCTCCTCCTTACCGGGCTCCTTCTCTTCGTCTCCGACCTGACCATGCGTGTTCCACTCCGCCTCCCTTCCCCTTGTCCTCCTCCTCCTCCTCCTCCTCCTCCTCCTGAGATTCCTCCTCCTCATCCTCCTCCTCCTTCTCCTCCTCCTCCTCCTCCCGCGCCCCCCTCCTCCTGCCCGCCTCCTTTCCTTCTCCTGCCGCCCCCCCTCCTCCTCCCGCCGCCCACCCCCTCTCCCTCCCCGTCCTGCCCGCTCCCTCTCCCCTCCCATGCCCCCCCCTTCCCCCCCCCCCCTCCCTCTCCTCCCCTTCCCTCTCCGCCCCCCCCTCCCCCTCGCGACAGAGACCCCGGGCGCGCCGCTGGAAGTGCAGGGGCCCCTGCGGCCCGCGCACGGCCGCCGCTGCGGCCGTCGCACGGCGGCGACGTGCGCCCTCCGCGCCTCGCGCGCCCTCCGCCCGCCGCCGCGCCGCGCCCCTCTCGGCTCGAGCCCGTGGCTCAGATGCGAAGCCTGTCGGCTGCGAAACCCCCTCTCCGTGTGGTGGGCGGGAGGGGGGAGAAGGTAGGAGGAGGAGGAGGAGGAGGAGGAGGAGGAGGAGGAGGAGGAGGAGGAGGAGGAGGAGAGGAGGAGGAGGGAGGAGGAGAGGGAGGAGGAGGAGGAGAGGAGGAGGAGGAGGAGGAGGAGAGGAGGAGGAGGAGGAGGAGGAGGAGGAGGAGAGGGAGGAGGGAGGAGGGAGGAGGGAGGAGGGAGGAGGGAGGAGGGGAGGAGGAGGAGGAGGAGGAGGAGGAGGAGGAGGAGGATGAGGACGAGGAGGACGAGGGGGCCGCGGCGCCGAGGGGCGCGGCCGCTGCGGTCCTGCGCCCGCCCGTGCCGTCCGAATCTGGCTCGCCGGGTTCCTGGGGGGTGCGATGCGGTCGGACCGAGGCAGGAGGTTTTTGTTTGGACTCAACGCCCTCACTTCAGAGCGTGAATTACCTACCCCGCTTTCGCTTCCAGGCAAAACCAAGTCATACCACGCGCCTCCTCGTCAAGCGGCCTGACCAGTACAGGCCGTAGTTTGGCATCGCTTGGTATCTCTTGGAAGCGAGGGTGGTCAAAAGCGAGGTAGGTTTTTGTTTGGACTCAACGCCCTCACTCAGAGCCCCGAATCATCAGGGGCAACTCGGGTCAGGGATAACTCGGGTTCCTTTTTCGGGAATCCGAACCCGAATTACCCCGGACCCGAGTTACCCCGGATAACTCGGGCGTCCAGAGCCCCGAATCATCAGGGGTAACTCGGGTCAGGGCTAACTCGGGTTCCTTTTTCGGGAATCCAAACCCGACTTACCCCGGACCCGAGTTACCCCAGATTTTTTTGGACTCAACGCCCTCACTTCGGAGGGCACCAACTATACACCTACACCGATCCAGCCCAGGCCGATCCTAGGCCCAGGATCGGTGTATGTGCATTCTGCCCCAGGCAGGAGGGCGTATACACCGATCCTGGGCCCAGGGTGATCCTGGCCAGGATCGGTGTTGGTGTATAGTTGGTGCCTTCCTATCACTGCCTGAAGTGCACGAGCTGTGTGGCAGGTGGCACAGCACGCTCCAGCAGGGCGACCTGCTGGACCTCTCTCTCTCTGCCCTGTTAGGCAGAGAATGAGCAAGGACCGAGGCAGAAGGTCGAGGTGGAGCGGGCTGATAATCTTTTGTGCGAGTCGGGCGCGTTGCCGAAGTCTGCGCGAGGACGGTTACTGGGGCAGGCGGCGCAATTAGACACACGAAGGCACAGTACGGCTCGCGGGACCCCGCCCGGCGCCGAGAGGATGGAGAATATCGAGGTCGGTCCAGCAGGGCCTCCGGCGGCCCAGGGCCCTCCGCAAGAGACGCCCGAGGACGGCCCACGCATCACCCTCGGGAGGCCCTCGAAGCGCAGAACTCAGGAGGGGAAAAAACACACAGACAACATTGATCGTCGACTCCCCAGAAAATATGGGAAAAGACGGGAAGTGGGGGGGAAGAAAGAAACCCAGAAAATATGGAGCAAATATAGGGAATTTGGTCATTAGTGTCTATTTATTTGTGTGTCCTAGGGCCCCTTCAAGAACAAGAGCATGCTCCGTTGGCTGTCGTATGATTCTGGGCGTCGTCATCAGGATATAGCTCGCCGTGTTCTGGGGGTGCGATGCGGTCGGACCGAGTTCTGAGATCGAGGTCGGTCCGACGTGGCCTCCGACGGCCCGGGTCCCCGCCATACACCCGAAGACGGCCCGAATATCATCCCTGAGAGGCTCTCGAAGCGCAGAACAGAAGTATGTTCCGTTGGTTGTGGTATGATTCTGGGCTACTGAGTTGTTCGGTCTTCGGGCGTCTGAAAACGCCCGAAAGGCACCGAAAACCGGTCCAAGATGACTAAAAAAGGCTTCCTGACACCCAAGAGAGCCCCAAGACGCCCTCCAGAAGCATGGAACCCGTGAGCCCGAGACCACGGTTCGCGGCATGGTGGCCCGAGGGAGCCCCCAGAGGCCGCCAAAAAGTGCCAGGGACGTTTCCAGAGGCGACCAAGGAGCCCCAACAACAGCTTTTCGCGAGGTCTTGCAGAAGCTCGCCTCGGAGAAGCCCCCGCGATCAAATCTGGGGAGGACGGGGAAGGGTTCGCGGGACAATTGAGGCGATAATGAGGAAGAGGAAAAGGAACAGGACACATGAAAGGAGGAGAAGGAAAAACAATTTGATAACGTTGCTGGCGAAACCTGCAATCACGCACGATGGTTTCTCATTGTTGTACCTCTGTCTACCTGCACGATTGACGTGAAAGACTCAGGTGCACGGCTCGAATCACCATTGCATTATGGTGTGTGCATGTATGCATACTTGTATGCATGTCTGTATGTATGCATGCATGCATGCAGGCAGGCAGGTAGGTAGGCAGGTAGGTAGGTAGGTAGGTAGATATGCATGCATGCAGGCATGTATGTATGTATACATGTGTGTATGTGTATATACGTGTATATCGGAGCTTGGGGGGTGAGATCGCAGTGGAACGGAGACCCCCCACCGGGAAATCGGTTTCGGTTTCGTGTTCGTGTCGTGTGTGCGGGCGAGGCGAAGCTGCGCGTGATCCTCCTGTAGCTAGGCCGAAGTAGGAGCGAAAGTCCGTTTCCCGTCCGCCGGTGGCTGGGAGGTGTCCCAGGCCGGGCGGTGTCCCGTCGGTGTCCCGCTGGTGTCCCGCTGGTGTCCCGCCGGTGTCCCGTGGTGTCCCATGGTGTCCCGTTAAGTGAGATCGATAGTGATATCGATAGTGAGATCGATGTGGTGTCCCGAGGTGTCCCGTGGTGTCCTATGGTGTCCCGTTGAGTGAGATCGATAGTGAGATCGATAGTGAGAACGATAGTGAGATCGAGAGATGTCCCGCGGTGTCCCGTGGTGTCCCGTGGTGGCCCGTGGTGTCCCGTGGTGTCCCGTTGAGTGAGATGGATAGTGAGATCGATAGTGAGATCGACAAGTGTCCCGTGGTGTCCCGTGGTGTCCCGTGGTGTCCCGTTGAGTGAGATCGATAGTAAGATCGATTGAGTCAGACGTTGGTTCCCCCCCCTTTCTTCCCCCCCACAACCTCCTTATCACCCGAAGGGTGGTCGTATAGGTATAACTATATGTGTGTGCGTGTGTGTGTGCGTGTATGTTGTGTGTGTGTGTGTGTGTTCGCCACCTGACACCATATCAATCGCCCTGTCTTCGATGATCCCACCCCATTTCTTCGGCCGTCCTCCCCCTCATCTCCTCCCCACTCTCCGTCAGCATCGTTTCCGTTACTCCTCGCTGCATTTCCTTCGATGATTCTTTCTGATGTGGATAGGGAGGGAGGAAAAGGGGGAGGAGGAGGAGGAGGGAAGGAGGAGGAGGTGGAGGAGGAGGAGGAGGAGGAGGAACCTCGTCGTCGTCGTCTCGTGGCCCGCACGAGCCCCCACGAAGCTTCCGCATCCTTTCCCTCATATCGCTCCTCAGCCTCATCTTATCATTCTCCCGCTCTCCTCATCGTCCTCGGTCTTCTCCTGGGCGAGATCTGAGGAGGACGGGGAGTTGCACAGGGATGATGAGCAGCATGCGGAGGTGATGTGTGCAGGATGATCCTGATGATGAGGACAAGCGGTTCCTTGCCCCCGTTCCCCTTCCCCTTCCCATGTTGCTCCTCATCCTCTGATTCCTCCAACCGTATCATTCCTCAGTATCGCATCTTCTTCATCCTCCTTTCTCCTTACCGTCCTCCTCGTATTATTTCTGATCCTGCTCCCCCCTCTTCATCTTCACATGAGAGATGCCATGGCGAACATGGGTGGTAGAGGGAGGGTTAGCGGGATAAGGATGAGGATGATTAGGAGGAGGATTGATGGGAGCAAGAAGAGGACGAGGAGGAGGGATACCTCCCCAATCTCGTACTGCGTTGCCTCATTATGCCACTCTTCGTCATCCCACTCCTCCTCCTCCCACAGGGGAGAGAAGGAGCACGAGGAGGATTTGTGCAATCCGGATGAGCAGGGTGTAGATGAGGGGGAAGGAGGAGGACAAGGAGTAGGAGTAGGAAGAGGAGGATGAGGAGGAGGAGAAGGAGGAATACCCAATTTCCTCTTCATCCTTCTACTCCTCATCTTCCGCACCCTCTCCTTCATATCGTTATCTAGCCTCATCTTATCAGTTTCCCGTCCTCGCCTGGGCGAGATATGGGGAGGATGACGAGTTGTATTGGGATGGTGAACAGGATGAGGGGGTGATGTGGGCAGGAAACCCTGATGATGAGGACAAGCTGTTCCTCCTCCTCTTCTCAGCGCTCCGCCGTACTCGCTTGAATCATGACAGAAATGTCTGCACGCTGGAAGGCAGCGGCTCTACGAATATACGCGTCTCTGAGGCCGTTCGCACCCCGCGAACATAGGGCCCAGCATTCGCCAGCCTGAGCTTAGTTCATACATCGGCATGCAGGGGGCGCAACGCGGTAGAATAGGAATATCATAGTCCGTTTCTTGTTCTTCATCCCCATCACGCTCCTCATCATCCCAATCATTCGACCGATTCATGCATCCTCTTCCCCATACCAATACTCCTTATATCCATCATCATCGGCTTCCTCCTTCCCCTCCTCCCATGGATCGACGGAGTGCTCTTGTCTTGGTAGAAGATGGTGAAGAGGAGAATGAGTGCGAGGAGGCGGAGGATGAACATGCATGTTAAGATGGTCGCGGGTATGGGGAATGCCACGTCAATATCATATTCGTGGTCCTCCGCCGCTTCCTCCTCGTATCACTCCTCCTCGTTTTCGCTGGTTTCTCACATCAGGATTCGATGTCTTCCTCCTCCTCCTCTTTGTGCTCCTCGCGGTCCTCCCAAGGAGCGATGAAAAAGGACAGTTGCAGAGGAAGGCGGGCCGGAGAAGGGTGAGCGATGACAAGATGGTGGGGAGGAGGAGGAGGAGGAGGAGGAGGAGGAGGAGGAGGAATCGTGATATGAGCAAGCCTCGTCCCCTTCATATTGGAGGCGGAGGCGCGGCATCATTCAGGGATATCGTGAGGCGTGATGTTGAGTGTAGGGCAGGGCGCCTGCTAGCCAGTGGAAAAGTGACCAGCCTGGTGACCAGACGGACTGATTCAGCGGCAACCGATCAGTCATCCGTTTTGAGGTATACTTTCGTTTGCCATATGTAGATGCCGTCCGCGCTGCGATACGCTGGGCGAGTGGATGCCCGCGCGAAATGTACGGTGACACGCGCATTGTCCATGACGGCACTGAACGGTGGACATCATCATTCTCAGTACCATTTGGGCACGAGCGTGCGTCTAGTCGTTGTCTGAACCACCTGAACCTTCACTGTTGTGCGTGGAATATTTTGATGGGCGGTGCAGGAGCTCTAGTTATAGGCAGTCAGAGAAGAAGGAGGAGGAGGAGGAGGAGGAGGGGGAGGAGGAGGGGGAGGAGGATAACCTCTTCCTCCTCCGCCTCCTCTTCATCCACCTCCTCCTCCCCTTCCTCCTCCTCCTTGTCCTCCTCCTCCTCCTCAGGATAACCTCTTCTTCCTCCGCCTCCTCTTCATCCTCCTCCTCCCCTTCCTCCTCCTCCTCCTCCTCCTCGTCCTCATCCTCGTCGTCCTCCTCCTCCTCTTCCTGCTCCTTCTCCTCCCCCTCCCCCCCCTCTTCTGTCTCTGGCCAGGCGAGGCCCGAGCGCCGCCGAGCATCGCCGCCGTCGCTTCGCAACGTGGCCGGCCAAGCCGCGCGGGCCTCTGGAAAGCCAGCCGAAGACAAGACAGACGGGTGCACGGTGGTGTCTGGTGGCGTCCCTGCCCGCGAGCGCAGGAAACGTGCGCGTGCGCAGTGCAGCTTGGCGGGCGCGTTCGCTCTGCGAGCGCCCCTGGCCAGAAAGCGCAGACTTCATGAACGTCAGACAAGACCCAATCATCACATGTGCATGAAGTCAAAAACCCTAACAAAGACGCGCGACTTTGCTCAGGGTACCCTTGCGATCTTGCTTTTCCTTGCTCTTGCGTCCTTGGGGTTTTCGTCGTCCGCCGCCCCAGAAATCCCAACTTCGGCTTCCAAGGGTCTTGCGTCCTTACCGCGCGTCCTTATTCGGGTTTTTGACTGTAGCGTGGTTCGGTGGCGTTCCAAACCCCGAGCGAGTTTGCGCGGCGGCGCGCGGCGGCGCCAGGGCGCCGCCACATCGGGGGGGCGGGAGGGCGAGGATGGGGGGGAAGGAGAAGAGGAGGAGGGGGAGGAGGAGGCGGAGCCAATCTCGACGATCGCGCAGGAGGAGGGAGAGGAGGAAGAGGAGGAGGACCGAAGGAAAGCAAGGAGGAGGAGGAGGACGATCGCGCAGGAGGAGGAGGAGGAGGAGGAGGAGGAAGAGGGGGGGAAGCTGACGAAGACTAACATAAACATAGAGATGCATGATGATAGGGGGGCCTGGGGCGGGTGGATAAGTGGGTGGGTGGGTGTGCGGGTGGGTGGGGGGGGGGCGGGGGGGGGCGTGGATGCACGCCTGTACACATATCATATATGTCTATATGTATATATATATATATGTATGGGTATACATGTTTATAGGATTATATGTGTATAATTGCACATATGTGTGCATGTGCACATGTACATGTGTACGCATAGGTATACATAGCTCTCCTAACCGTTATCAAGTACACGTT